AGTGTATTAAATCCTTGGATTAACACAATTCCTGCCACCCATTATGCACTCGGTACATGTTATTACCACTATAGTTGATTATTACAGCATCACTACCGTGCATGTATGTATTTACCCCACTCTGTACCCTCAATGTGTTTAGTAGACCTTGTTGCTTGCAGCCAGACTAAGTGGTAGAATCATATAGCATCTGGACAGACAGAATCACTGTAATTATGTATGGTCTAACCCTAATCTAGGACACATGAGGAAACTAAAATGATCTGAATTTATATATTTAACCACAAATCAATCAAATACAAGCTAAGCATCAGGCTTTGAAATAGGCACTCAAGATACAAACATGAGTAGAACAGAGTTCCTGTTCACCACGATTCACCATTTTACAGAGGAAACAGACAAGTATTATAGAAACAAGTAAGAAATATACCAACAAAGGCAAGTTCCTATTGCTACTCAAACACCGAGGAGGAAGATCTTATCTCTGGCGGGGGCAGTCCCAAAAGGCGACCTAGAGAAGGCGACTTTGCCCTGTTATCAAAGTCTATGTGAGGAGAGAGTCTAAGAAGAAAATCAAAGGAGAATATAGACAAATACACTAACAAAATTGTGTGTAAATATCATTAACCATTAATAAAATTCAAATTAAGACCTCCATCAGACACCACTACATAACTACTGGAATGGCTCACATAAAGAATAAACAAATAAAAAACAAACAACTAAACTTCCAAGTACTGGCAAGGATATTGAGCAACTAGATTTTCCATACATTTCTGATGCAAATGCAAAATGGTGTAGCTAATTTGACAAATACTTTATTAATTTCTTATAAACATCTACTTAACAAATGAAACAATCCCACTTCTAGGGATTTTCCTCGGTAAAATGAAAAAGTATGTTTACACCAAAACCTTTTCATAAACTTTGATAGCAGATTTATTCATAATCTCCAAAAACTGAAAACCACACAAATATCCTTCTGTGGGTGAACAGATAAACAATATGTGATGCATCTTCACAGTGGAATACTATCCAGCAATAAAAAGGAATAAACTATTGATACACATGATAAGGTGAATGAATATAAAATGCATTATGCTAAGTGAAGGGAGCCAGCCCCAATGCACTCATAATGTATGATTCTATTTATATGGCATGTACTGGAAAATGCAAAAGCATAGGAGGAGAAAACAAATGAGTGATTTCCATAGAGTAGGAGGAGGCATTGACTCTAAGTGAGCACAAAGGAATTTCGAGGTATAATGAGAACAGTTCTGTATTTTGAGTATGATGGTATTTATCAGCCTATATGTGTCTGTCAGAAATCCTAAAACTATACTCTAAAAGGGATGGATTTTACCATTTATAAATTATAACTCTTTTAAAGGCAAAAATAGACTATGTGCAAAGATCCAAATATATAATACAGTAAAAGAAACTCATGTTTTGTAGGCATGACTGGAGTACTATGTAACTATTACTTAGCTAACAATCTGACACACAATAGAAATTCAATTAATGTACAGTAGTCCCCCCTTATCTATGGTTTCACATTCCAAGGTTTTGGTTACCTGTGGTCAATCATGGTCCAAAAATAGTAAATGAAAAATTCTAGAAATAATCAATTTATATTTTCAATTGGGTGGGGTGAAATCTCCATCTCACTTGGGACAGGAATCATTGCTCTGTCCAGCATATCCACACTGTAGATGCTACCTGCCTGTTAGTCACTTAGTAGCCCTCTTGGTTATCAGATTGACTGTCACAGTGCTAGTGTTCAAGTCACCCTTATTTTACTTAATGAAAACACCAAAGTGCAAGAGTAGTGATGCTGGCAATTGGGATATGCCAAAGAGAAGCTGTAAAGTGCTTCTATTAAATAAAAAGGTGAAAGCTCTCAACTTAATAAGAAAAAAAAGCATAGTGTATATAGGGCTTGGGAGTATTTGTAGTTTCATGCATTCACTGGGGGCCTTGGAATGTATCCCTTGAGGATTGAGGGGAGACTACTGTATGCAGCATACATGAATGGAAAGAGCGATCTTTAGAAATATTAGAAGATAGGAACCAACTCCTACAAAATCATGGAACAATTGACAAAGCTGACATTGCTTATATTTGGCTCAGTGATCTAACAGATATCGTGGTCATTTATATTGTTCGGCAAGTGCTGTCTTGAAATAGGGGAGAACATTTATAAAGATAGGATGCTTTAAGGCAGCCTAATTGACTACGGTGAGAATGGCTTCCCTTAAATTTGTGCGATGCACAGCTGCACGACCACAGACAGCAGTCCCGGGGGTATATTCTGGGAAAATATTTCTTAATTTTCATTCCCTAGATATTTGGAGACACATTTTGAGAAATATGAATAATGATGGAAATGCAGAATCAAAATGCTGAAAAGGAGGAGTATATAATGCCACTGGTTTTATGGAATCGGGCCACCTTAGTCAAACAATCTTTTCAGGAATTTTCTCATATGTATATAAATAATACGTGTATATATTTATTCAGCTTATCAGATAGATAGATAGATAGATAGATAGATAGATAGATCGATCGATCCTCCAGAGTTGTATAGTGGAAGAAGATAAGATAATAAAAATGTATTTTCACAGAGTAAAATTTTATCTCAAACATGAGTCATATCAAGAAGTCAAGGTGGGGCACAGTGGTTCACACCTGTAACCCTAGCACTTTGAGAGGCCAAAGTGGGAGGATCGCTTGAGGCCAGGATTTTGAGACCAGCCTGGGCAATAGCGAGACTCCTATCTACGAAAAGTAGAAAAATTAGCTGGGCGTGGTGGCATGCACCTGTAATCCCAGCTACTTGTGAGGCTGAGGTGGGAAGATCTCTTGAACCCAGGAACTGGAGGTTGCAGTGAGCTATGATGATGCCACTGCACTGTAGCCATGGCAACAGAGTGAGGCCCTTTCTCAAAAACAAAAACAAAGAGAAGAAGTCAACAAAATAACTCAGGATGTGCAGGAAAACAGAACAGGTAGCAAGGATTTGCCTTGCCACCTGGCACATCCTGCTGCACGGAGCTATGCAGCCAGGTGCTGAGGAATCAGTGGAACACATATAGAGAAGTAGGGAAAGTTGTTTCTTTTGAGTATTCAGAAAGATTTTCATCACATTCACCATTTTTAGAGCATTGAATGTTTTAAATGGCTTACTAACCCTTATTCTTTATTCACCCCAGAATTCCTGTAATGTAAGTAAATATTACTATCTTGAAAAAACAAATTTGGAAGGTTCTAATCAAGCAGACATTCTAATGCTAAACATTCTATTAGCAAGAATTTCTACTCTTTGGACCATTTCAACACAGTGCCACTCTGTTGTGAAATGACACCTGTTCAACAACTTGTACTGTATTTCTTTTCAGAAGGGGGAAAATTTGGAATTTTTTTCATAAGAATACTTCTAGGGAAAGGGCCAGAAGCGATTAGAATAAAGGAACAGAGCCAAAACCAGGAAATTAGGTGTCAGGGAAACAAAGAACAAGTGGAGAAAAGTTTAGAGAAGTTACTCTGCATTTCCTCTGAGAATCTACACATCGGGGCTTTATCACAAGCAAGTCTTTTGAGATTCATCTGTCACTAGACAGTACTAAGCACACTATCTTTAAAGGAAATCTTTGTTCTAATTCCCTCCTGACAGGAAAAAGCTTCTGGGTTCACTCAACCCTATCTTTATCCTTTACAAAGGAAAACTATAGAAAGAATGGTTTTACTCCCAGGGGCTTCTCCAGCTCTTCTTATTCAACTAGCTCCATCTAACCAGACTGCTTAAGACTCCCCCCCCCATTCACCTGCTACAGCTCCCACACAACAAGAAAGTCTGCTTAGATGCTTTTATTTTCTTTCCTTTGGGGTTCCTCAAAGTCCAGGTGTCCCAGAGAGGAATCCTTTGTAACTAGGTCACCTCGGTGATTGATAAAGGGGCCGGAACATTCCAAAGATAGAGTGGCTGTTGCTTGTTTCCCTCCATCCCACAATGGTGGAGAATACCTGACCCAGATTCAGATCCTCAGAAGCTAAGACTTCCAACCCAATATTAAAACACAAAGAAATGGCAATATTTCTCACATGAAACTTCATCGCCCATAACACACATTATGCATGAAGATTGCAAATAGAAACCCTTGCATCCAAGTAGGATTGCATTCATCTTATTTTAGAAAACTGAGCAATCATTTAATTTTAAGGAGCTCTAGAAAAGTATGTTCACTCTCAAAATTCAATAACCCCTCGCAATTTTCTATAGTATTCTACAGTTGAATTTTCTAATACTTATCTCCAATCTTGTGTTTGTGCTCCGGATTTCAATTGCACATACACTGCCAAACTGCAGAAAATTTCCCAAGGAATATATGCTAAGCTTGGAGTTAAAATTATCAACTCCTGGTCTAATGATTGCCCCACTCTCATCTCATGTGTATGGCAGGATGCTTGGGTGCAAGCAACAGAAGGTAACTCTGGCTAATCTAAATTGAAAAGTATTTATTGTGAAAATAATAGAGCTCACAGAATCTACAGGAGGATGGAAAATCACACTCAGGAAACAGACTGAAAGTAAGGGAACTTGCTAGAGATGAGAAGCAAAAAGCAAAACGAGTGACTTTTAACAGAAATATCCAGCTGAGGTGTGGCTTCTGCTGCCATAGAGCATTGATGCTGCTAGACACTGCACCCCCACTAGACACTTTGAGAGCTATAAATGCATCTAAAATTAATCTCATGCTCTCTAATTTTCCCTCTCTCTCTCTCTCTCTCTCTCTCTGTCTCTCTCTACTCCCCTCCCCATCACTGGCTCCAGATTAAAATTCCCAGGCTGAAACATGTATTAATAATTGGCCAAGCCTAGGTCACGTCCTGCTGCCCACACTGCTAACCCTTCACAAAAACCCTTTCTACAAGTCACTGTTACTACTGGAATATCTTCCTTTAAAAGATTTTTCATGACAATAAAACGCTGAAACTCCAAAGAGGGAGAAAAAACTCTTTATATAGCTGCATAACGTGAAGTAGTTACTCAAATATCAATAGACATACAGATGGTAATAACAACAGAAAAATGAAAGCTGGCCATTAACATGCCTCCTCTGTTCTTGGCATTCATTTCAGCTGAAGTTCACTCATGTTTGGTTGCACCACAAATTCCAGGACACTGCACCAGAACCAACAAAGAGGTTCTTCTCTTCTATGTGGTTGTTATTTCTTGATTACAAGGAAAGTCGGTGCCTAGGAACAGGTGGCCTCCTTCAATCAGCTGAGTCCTGAGAGATGGGAGGGGAGGCAGGGCTTGCAAGATCTGTCCCTGTTTGGCAGTGGCTCAGTCATTCCAAGATTTCTTGTTTCTTTCTGGAAAGAAGGGAACATTTCAGAAACTACAAAACCTCTCTTAGCTTTGATTTGGCCCACAAAACACAACAGCTGTGAAAGTTGATTCTTGCAGGCAAAAAAAAAAAAAAAAAAGAAAGAAAAGAAAAAAGAAGGTCAAGACTGTTTATAATGTGGTTTTGCTAAAGTGTATTGTTTTCAGAAGAGGGAAAAACCACTATCTATGAATATGCAGTGAGTGAAAAATAAGAAAAACATGTGAGTTGTATTTTAAGCTAAAGAGATTGGGCCCACAATCCCAATTACACATATGCTTCTTGGGGCAGAATGAATAATAACTACTTGTTTTTGAAATGTTCTATGATACAGTTTAGCTTATACCTCCAAAAACATTCACTGCTTGCAGTTTCCTTAGCTCTAGTGGCCTGAATAGTAGGAGAAGAGGGCTAACTATAAAACAGGTTAGTGAAACAAAAGTATTTTTTAAAAATAAGTGACTGATTTTCATTATATCCTACTAACTCTAAAGCGGAGTGAAGGATTTTTCTCTCTGGACTTCACTCATTTCCTTTTATTTATTCTCTGCTGCAAAGAGATTTTCCTCAATTAATTCAAACATGTCTCTCTCTAGAGATTCAAACTGAATTTTTTTTTTTTTCAAAAGCATTGGATTAAGTGAGAGGAGTTTTATTCCCAAATAAGTTACTAGGCTTTTTATGATTCTGTTATCAATTAGCTGGAAGTCTCTACATCACTTTTGACGGATGAATAACAAAAGGGAGATCTATATTAATTATTTGAGGGAGCAATTCTTAGCCTTAGATTCATATTCAAATCACCTGGAGAGGTTAAACAAAATGGGTTTCTTGGCCTTATTCCAGATCTACTAAATCAGAATCTCTAGACATGGAGCCTAGTCACTGGTATTTTGTTTTTTAACTTGCAGTTAAATCTAGTGGGAAACTGGGCTGAAAATTCCATCTTCCAAAGAGCTGCCACTTCTTTGTGGTTGAAGATCAAAACGTGTACAAAAAGATTTCCATCAGGACCCAAAGAAATAATTTGAGCTCAACTTTTCCTGACTCTCTCCTTTGGAGGAATGGACTCCACCAACTTAGTGTGTGAGCCCACATGGAAACACAACAAAAATCACTTTACCAAGCTCCACATCTCTAGTTCTCTTTCTCCCTAATTAGTCCTTTTGACCCATAAATGGTCCCTTACACTGGCAACTTCAGTATCTCAGATTCTCAGAGATCCTGGCTCTCACTGCATTGCTTTCTACAAATTGTATTATCCATCAGAGAATACAGGAATCCCAAGGCATATGCCCTTGCCAATTTCTGGAAACATTTTTAAAGTACAGTACTTTTGAGATTCTAAGGGTGAGTTCCCCACTGGTATTCACTTGATGGGCAGAGAAAACTCAGTTAAAAGGAGCACAGTGGAGGTTGACACTGAGCCCAGCTGGGGCCCAACTCCAACAGCACAGAGCAACAGTTCTCCAATCCAACAGCCTGATTCAGTACATCTGAGGTGAAACCTAAAGATCGGCATTTTTTAATAGGAACCTCAGGATATTCTGCAACAGATGGCCTGCAGACCACCCAGAGAAATATGGTTGTAGACTGTTATAGGAAAATCTTTCAGAGAAACCAGGAATGTTTAGGTGGAGAAAGCTAAACTGTCTTCAAATATTTAAAGGGCTTTCCTGTTTGGGAAATAAAATTAAATAATTTTTTTAAAGCCTTCTTCTTTAAGACCCAAAGAGGTAGAAAAGGGGAAACTGAGTTGAAAATGCGAAAAAAAAAAAAGAATTTTGTCTCAATTTCAAGAAGAATTTCATAGCAATCAGACTGCCTTATAAAGCAGTATTTCTAAATTCAACCTAGAATGATTGCCCCTTAAGCATACATGATCAAAGGGATTGAAGTATGCAGTGGGTAGGTAGTTAAGTTTGCTATGTTCCTTAAAACACAGATTCATTCGGAATAATGAAACTCATCATGGGTCTAAATCTTTATCTCCACAGCAAGATGAAAAAAATACAACTGAACATTTATGCATAATATTTAACTAACTTAATCTCCTAAACTACCCCATTATAACTCTAATATCTTATACTAAAAATGTCCTGAAACTAACTTTGGGATTAAGAAGCTTTAACCTAAACAGTTAATAAGGCTGCCAAAATACAATGTTGATTAAAAATCTAAGCCATTCCCATGTATGGATAGATGGATACACAGGAAATTAAAGAGAAGGTGGGGGGGTATTTCTGGCTAAGATTGGATAGAGCACACTCTAGTTCATCATCTCTCTCACTGAATGCAGCCAGAAAATGATGCACCTGGAAGGAATGTGCTTGATGCAGCTATTTGAGGACTCTGAATTGGAAATAGAGGCAGGTAGACTGAATCAGAAGAACAGAATTCAGTCCACCAATTATTTACAGCTCTGGAATTCCATTGCCTGAACTCATGGTGGCCTGAGAACCAGAGGGATCATTGGCACACACAAAAATCCAGGAAGCCCTCTGGCTCTGGCTCAAGAAGTGCTAAAAGGATCACCCAATGCTCAGAGAAAGTGTGGAAATCCATTTGTTTTCCTTTGCCGTGTTCTCTAGTGCCTCAGCGCCCACATAATCTTAGAGCTATGGTGTTACTTCCCCTGCTGACCTCTCCCTCCCCATCTCTCCCCTTGTTCCTGATGTGGGTACAGTCAAGGAAAGTGTGAAGCCAAGCAGGATATACTAGGTCTTAGATTTATAGCCAGAAGACTGATAAAAGGAGACTAAAGGAACCAGAAAGTACTGGGGAGATTTCAGAGATAGGTAAGAGCCTGAGAAAGCAACTCCTTTTAGTTGTATACGAACCCCTGTGCTCACTTTGAGCTGCATGTGCATGGATCTGAGCCTCAACAGAGTGTGTAGTCTTCGAGAGCTGAATAGACCACTGCCCAGGTCCCAGGCTGGCTGCAGGTGGGACATGTGGGACAGATTGGACTTATGCTGCAAAGGATTTGAAAACCAAATTGACCAAAAAATTCTGGTAATAACTTGTGACCTGACTCAATTACATTCATTGCCACTAAAGCAAAAATATAAACATTCTCTATAGGATTTTGGTAAGACCCAGAGACTCAACATAGTGCTTAAAATACCAACCATATAACTTGAAGTTAATCGCTCACAGAGAGCCTGAAAATTATCAACTTGCCTGGGATACAAGAATCGACAGTGGTCACCCCTGAGATGGCATAGATGTTGGCATTATCTGACAAAAACCTTAAAGCAGTTATAAGACTTCTCTAATACAAAGGATGACAGAAACACCCTTGAAACAAATAAAAGTTCAAAAATTTCAGCAAAGAGATGAGAAGACATAAAGAAGATCTAACTGGAAAATTTTAAAATGAAAAATATAGTAACTGAAATAAAAATCTTGTAAGATGGTATAATAACAGAATGGAGCTGGCAGAGGAAAAAGTCAGTAAACTTGAAGACGGATGAGTAGATATTATACAATCTCTACAACAGAGAGAAAAATACATATAAAAAAATTAAGCCAGGCATGGTGGAGCACACTTGTATTTCCAGATATTCCTGAGGCTGAGGGCTGAGGATGAGTTGAACCCAAAAATTCAAGGCTGCAGTGAGCTATGATGATGCCACTGCACTCCAGCCTGGGTAACAGAGTGAGTCTCCATCTCTTAAAAAAATTTAAAAATTTTTAAAAAAGAAAAACAGAAAACAAAACAATTACTAATGAACAGAGCAACAGAGCAATCAGGAACCTGTAGGGCAATACCAAAAGGTCTAACATTTGTATCATTAGAGTGGCAAAAAGAGAGGAGAAAAGAAAAAAAAATATTTGGAGGAATCATAACTGACAGCTCCCCAAATTTGGAAAAAGACTGCTTAGAGAAGATTCTGCCTACAAACTGTGCTAAGCAGCCAGAGAATAAAGAGAGAAGACAAGTGATGAGGATTAGCCCAGCCCTCTTGGAATCGCAGCTATTGGAAACACAGAGAAAGTCTTCCCCTTTTTTTTTACATTAATTTGTCTTGCAGGAGTAGGGGACCTGCAGCTTCAGTCCACACGTGGCCCTTCAGATCCGGAAGTCTGGCCCCTTGACCAAATCCAAACTTATAGAACAATCCCTTTATTAAAGGATTTGTTCTATAAAATTTGGATTCAGTGAAAAGGCCACACCCAAGGATCCAGAAGGCCACATGTGGTCCCAAGGCCACAGATTTCCTACCCTTGGTGGGGAGGTTGGCACAGAAAGAAAAGAGGAGGGGGCCTGGGCATCTCACTGTTTCAGGGGGTGATAAGTTCCCATCTGGGGCTTTTGAAGCCAGGCTTCTCCTGGAGATTTCTTTGTCTCTACCATAGCACTCACTCAGATTTCTGTGTTAAAGGAAGAAAAAAAGAAAAAGAAAGAAAAATTCACTGCTGGCTTAGTGAGTTATGAAATTCTGATCTTTGTCTCCTCCAATCCTCTTGCTCCTGTTTATTTTACAGAGTCCACATATAACTATTCCATACATTCTGCCCAAGTTTTATCGCTGCTTTCAATTGGAAAGATGAGAAGTGTTTACTCCATGTTACCCAGAACTGGAAATTCAATCTTCTAGAATGATTTTTCAACCAAGCAATGTTAATTAAGAAAAATATTTATTCTGGGGAAATTACTACATATTACAAAAAGTTGCTTCTTGAATCTTCAACTCCTATTATCACAGATGAATGCTAAATAAGTCATGTTTGGTTTTCTGTTTATAGGTTATTCAAACAAATCTTATTTCTTTAATTATATTCTTAGTCACTAGTTCCCATAAGACTGCATATGTGTGTTGAAGAGGATATTTTAATTTTGTCCAAGAGAATCATCATTTAGAAAGTTAATTTGTCCCTAATGGTATAAACCTTTCAAATTTAGTCATGAGTTTAGACTATCCATGCCACTGATTGCCAAAACACAATGGGAAAGTGGCTACATAGTGAAAAAACATGCATACGGTCTTACTGCAATGTGTTATTCCATGTATTTTTATAATATTAATTTAGTAAATATTTATTTTCTATTTACCAAGATCTAGCTTTGACAGTGTGGCAGTGAATAAATCAGATAAGGTCCTGTGTTTACCCTATTAGTTAAGATGTTTGAATAGCTGTCATAGGCATGCTGATAAGCACAACTGTTCTGTATTGTTATTTTGAATATATGTAGATGTTTCTCCTTGATCATTCTGCAAGTTGGCTTTGTCTCTGGTGATCTTTACACAAAGATGGAGCCTGGACAAACGTATATTTCAGGGCAAGTTTTGGGCTTTGCAAACTTCATTTTCACAGTGACATTAGACTTTAAACATAGCAGTGTGGTTTAGGCATGAATATTCCTGCTCATTAAATATAACATTCACCGAGAACTTCTTGCTAAGAAATATTTTGCAAACTTTCTAAATTTAAGCAAATATGCCAGCTTTACAAAAGGAGTAAAAACCACATGTTGAATCCAGTCTTCCTTTTAGTCTGATTTGTGCTCTTGTGGCTTAAGTTAATAATTATACCTTTTATTTTCTTAAAGCAACTTTTTAACTTTAAGAGATTAAATGGCTTGATTAGCACAGATTAGCTTTTCCCAGGTGGATTACTGAATGTCACAATTAACATCTAATGTCTGAAAAAAATGAAGATAAATTGTTAAAGAAAAATTAGTTTTGTTTATTCATTTATATATCATTTGGCTTGGTAAGAATAGAACACTTGCTACACATTCTTTAGTTCATGAACTTTGACGATTTTGTTATTATTTCGTACTTCAGCTCTTAGATAAAAGTCACCATGTTTATAAGTTGGACACTAGACTTCCTTTCATTATTTCATTTTCCCTTCTCTTTCCTCCTTTATGACTCTCCATTCCTTCCTTCCATATGCCCCTCTTCTGATCTACTTTAGCACCTCTTCTACTTTTAAGAAGCAATAATCACCTTCCCAAAATATTCTCACTTAGTACGGAGAGTGTGAACATGCCATCACTTCTCAAATAATATATTTGAATTTGCAGGTCTAGTTTACAAAAAGTTTAGCAGAAACTAAGGCAATTCCATCATTGCTATCACATGGTATGCATGTGGGCATCTATACGGGTTCAAGAATGTGAATAACTTTCACTTAATAAAAACACATTCAACTAATTAAAGCTGGTAGAAACTACAAAACCTTCACTGAATTTCAGAAATTATGTAATCTCTCAGTTTGTTTTCAGGCATTTTCCCTCTAACATTGGTTAAATAGCTATCATTTTTAAAATTTGCATTCCTCCCAAACTCCAAGGGAGGATAGTACTATTGTAATTATGCTACATTCTTCTGAGGTTCCATAATGAGCTATTATTTTGCTAATGGAATATTCAAGTAGTCTATAGTAATTTATCAAATAGTCCCAAGTCCCATTTTCTCAGTGTGAATCTTTTTGTTCACAGGTAAATTGATGTGTGGGGGGTTATCAAGGCTTTTTTGTAATTCAAATTATCCGTTCCACCTCCCTTCACAAAAAAATACATGCCATCTTAGAAGAGTTCTTAGAAATGTTTAGAATTAAAATTGTACAGACTTTGAGCAAGTAGTAATGTCTGCATGTTAATTTGTTTTATGGTGTTTTTGCATTTTGATGCCTAATTTTGAAAATGTCCCTAAATTGAAGGGGGGAGGGAAAAATGTAATTCAACTATTTTTACACTACAGTATATTCTTTTGTCAGCTTGAACTACTATCAGGAGAGCATTCTAGTAAATTAGAGATCCGGAAACAGGAAACCATCTAAAGCTCTTCTATTTTCCCTCGCTTTAAAAGACAAGAATTTAAACCTAATATAGTTCTTGTTCAAATGGACCCCACTTTTTGGCACAAAACTATCAAAGCTATAATGTGGTGTGAATATACCAGTGACTGTGTCAGAGCCCTTAAGCAGACAACTACACAAATAGATTGATGTTGGGAGAATGGTTTTGAGCTACATAAATAAAACAAAATAAAAGCAAATTAAAATGAGCAAAACGACTGACTGGAGAGTTCCAGTTCCTGACAAAATGGTGGACTGGTTTGTACTACTGACTCGGTTTCCTCAAATCAACCTTGTAATATTGTCACTACAGAAAAACATCCTTGAAAAGGCCAAGAGGAGGCCCTGAGAAAATCAAAAACTGTCTATAATTGCAGCACGTAGAAAAGGTAGGGGGTTGCCTCCTCCTAGGAAAGACTCCCAAACATTAGACCAGGTGCTGTGGCTCACGCCTATAATGCTAGCACTCAGGGAGGCCGAGGCAGGAGGATTGCTTGGGCTCAGGAGTTCGAGACCAGCCTGAGCAAGAGCGAGACCCTGTCTCTACTATAAATAGAAAGAAATTAGCCAAACAAATAAACAAAAAAAAAAAAAAGAAAAAGAAAAAAATTAGCTGGCCATGATGGCGCATGCTTATAGTCCCAGTTACCTGAGAGGCTGAGGCAGGAGGATCGCTTGAGCCCAGGAGTTTGAGGTTGCTGTGAGCTAAGCTGACACCAAGACACTCTAGCCCAGGCAACAGAGTGAGACTCTGTCTCAAAAAAAAAAAAAAAAAATCATGTCTTCAACAAGAGTAAATGGAGAGAAACCTTATAAACTGTGCATTTGCTTTTCCCCTACATTGTCCTTAGACAATCATCTCATTCCCATTTACCAAAAAATCTGCTACAGCAGCTTAGACCCCTAGTGCGGTGTTGTGGCTGCCCACCAGGTTCGCTTGCCTGCTGCCCAAGAGGAAGCCAATAGGAGAGACAGCAGGGTTTACAACAGAGAAAGAGTTGATTCTGCATAGCGCTAAGCAGGGAGATGGGAGAAATTTCTCAAATACACCTCTCTGAGGATTTCGGAGACAGGGTTTTTAAAGACAGTTTGGCAGAGGCAATTGAATCTGCTAATTGGCTGGGTTTGGGGCAGAACCTTAGGGTTATAGACATTGTCTTCTTTCCTGACCAGGTTCTTGGGTGGGGGTCACAAGACCAGTGGAGTCAGTTCTTCAGTGCAGGCTGCTGGGCGGGGTGGGTCAGCCCTTCCACTGGGGTGTGGGACCTGGCAGATATCTCAGAAACTACCCCTACGTTTCAAAAAGGTGATGTTATCTGTGGAGAAAGCTAAGAATCTTTATGGCCACCAGCTACGTGGCTCCAGAGTGGCAATTACAGAGAAGCAAGCGGGGACAGTGGCTAATTATTATCATTATTTTTAGCCAGGCTTGTGCTTTATTTTTAACTATGCCCTTGCCACAGTTCTCACCTTGTACCCCTTTTTTATTAATTCGTAAGGGAGGTTTCAGTGTCTCTGAGGTAATACTGAGGTAGCCGGAAGGCCCTGCCTGGGTGATGGATCCTTAAAAACAAGTGGAGACTGACCAGCTGCCCTTCCACCTCCTCCCTCTTCAAATTCCCACTCACTGATGGATAACAACCTAGGGAAACTGCCTCCTCCATTCCTGGATTACATTAAAAGTGAGACATGAATCACTGACCAGATGAAACTCTTGGAGGAGTGACAGTTAACAGCCTGGAATCCACAGAGGTTCTGTGGTACCTGGAACTCTCTGACTCTGCCCAGGAGCTCAACCTTGCCTCTATTTTTAAACTCGCCCAAATTCACATAGACTGCAGCCTGGCCTCTGGCCCTTACCCAAAACACATTGCAGAACTCCAGACCATCTTTTCTATACAGAGATCCTGCTGAAAGAGAGTAGCTGATACTCCGGGGAGCATGAACTCACTCACCAAAACAACTAGATGCTAAAGCCTAAAATTATCTGAAAGAAAAAGCACAAACTGGACAACACATACTATCTTAAGTAGAATTACTAGACCTGACAGATTAAGAATTATAAGTAGAATGGTAACTATAGTTATTAGATATTAGAAAATATTAACCACATGAAAGAAGAAGAATGAATCCCAGAAAATTCCACATGAGAATATTATATATAAAAATTTAGGTATATTTCTTACAATTAAAAAAAAGGATGAAAGATCTTTAATTTAGAAGGACCACTGACTATCAAATAAGATTGATAATGAAAAACACACACCTAGACAGAGTATAATTAAATTTAAGAATATAAAAGATAAAGAGAAAATTCTGAATACTGCTAAATAGAAAGCAAGAGAAGGAATAAATACCCCAATTGAATAGAATTTGAGAAGAAGAAATAAAATTAGAGAAGAACAAATCCAGAAGATGATGGAAAAGATAAGTAAAATGATCAAACATTGTGGTAAGACAGTTGGCAAAGACTGACAATCAGGGGCTTTGGGGGGAAAGAGAGAGGAAGGGAAAAAATTTAGACCAAATAAAGAAGCATATTTATAATAGCCAGAACTAAAATTCGACATCATTCAGTCTGACGAGGTAGGGAACATGAGGAATGAGAGTGAATTAAGTTATTTGTCTTGTCAAGGAGCATGTCCTCTTGGGAAAATTAAGTTACTTATGTTGTTAGAACAAAGATATATAAAATTCTTAAATGTATGTGTATGTAGTGTGTGTGTGTGTGCACATAAGTTTAAGGAAGGATTAAAAGAAGATAATTATGATTATGAGTCTTTCGGGGAAGGACACCCAACCATAATAATGAAAAAAAAAAATGCTGCCTATAAATTTTAAGTAAGATAAATAACAGTCTATCAAATAGAAAGCACAGATGGAAGAAAAGGAAAAAAAATGTGAAGTTTACATGGAAAATAAGACCCACTATAATAGTAATTAACTATCAAAATAAATGGGTTAAATATATGAGTTAAAAGGTAGAGACTAATGATGTATTGTTTTGAAAAAAGATACAAGAATATGTTGTCTAAAAATAAAAAAATAATTAAGATGTATCAGTAAAATATGAACCAAAAGACGGGTGATATAGTACTCTTATTACATTAAAAATATAATTTAATGCCAAGGAGGCTGTTATCTTTTAGTAAAAGAAACACTAGAACAAAAAAGTCAATTTATCATAAGCCATGCCTCACATACATATTGTCTATGGCTGCTTCCTACCTACAGTGGCAGAGTTGAGTGCTTATCACACATCAAATGACTCACAAACCCTACAGTGTTTATCAGGTCTTTCGCAGAGAAAGTTTTAGCAACTTTATTTCCTTATAAGGAAAGAAAAAGAAAATAAAGCAAAAATAATATATGAAAAGAACCAGAATAATACAAATGACATAATTTGTAGATAAGGACGTGACAACAGCTATTATATCTGTAATCCATATATTCAAAAAGCTAGAGAAAAGATTGAGCACGTTAAGTACAGACACAGAAAATATAAGTTGAACTTGTACCATTATTGGTACAATACAAAACTACAATATTTGAGATAAAAATATCCACTGGAGAAGATTTGTGGCTGGTTAAACATTGTAGAAGAAAAGATTAGTGAAACTGAAGACATAGCAATCGAAATCATCTAAAATAAAAGAGATAAAAGATAAAGGCATGGGCCAGCCACAGTGGCTCATGCCTGTAATTCTGGCTCTTTGGGAGGCCAAGGCAGAAGGATCTCTGAGGCCAGAAGTTCGGAACCAGCCTGAGCAACATAACAAGATGCCATCGCTACAAAAAATCAAAAAATTAGTCAAGCATGGTGTCATACACCTGTAGTCCCAGATACTTGAGAGGTTGAGGCAAGGGGATCACTTGTACCCAGGCATTGTATAATGATACCACTGCACGCTGGCCCAGGCAACAGAGTGAGACTCTATGTCTCACCAAAAAAAAAAAAAAAAAGATAAGGCTTAAAAAAATTGATATATATGTGATCAGAGTCCCTGAAAGAAAGGAAATCAAGGTATAGACAGAATATTTGAAGAAATAATTGGAAGTTTTTTGCAATTTGGTGAAAACTACAGATCCCCTAATTCAAGAAATTCAACAAACCTCAAGAGCAGGTGACAGGAAACAACAATCACAACTGTACCAAGTTACATCCGAATCAAATTGCTTAAAGTCGGTGATAAAAAGAAAATCTTAATAGCAGCCAGTCTGGGGTGGGGTTGAAATCCACATTACATATACAACAACAAAGATAAGTAACATATTAGATTTTTAATTGTAAATAATGCAAACTAGAAGTATGAAAAGAGAAAAATATCAACCTAAAATTATTTACCTATTGACAACATCTTTCAAAAACAAGGATTAAATAAAGTATTTTCAAACATAGAAACCTGTAAGCAATAAAGAATATTGGGAATGGTAAAAATGTAGGTACATATAAAGCTCCCTATAAAAATTATTTAACTCTCTTTCAAAAATAATCTGCTCTTTAAAGAAAAATCAATAAAATGTGTACAATGGTTTATAACAAATGTCAAAGCAAAATACTTAGTTACAAAGCATAAAGGCTGGAGGAGAAGAAATGGAAATATACAGTTTTATATTTCTTTTTTTTTTTTTTTTTTTTTTTTTTTGAGACAGAGTCTCACTTTGTTGCCCAGGCTAGAGTGAGTGCCGTGGCATCAGCCTAGCTCACAGCAACCTCAAACTCCTGGGCTGGAGTGATCCTTCTGCCTCAGCCTCCCAGGTAGCTGGGACTACAGGCATGCGCCACCATGCCCGGCTAATTTTTTCTATATATATTAGTTGGCCAATTAATTTCTTTCTATTTATAGTAGAGACGGGGTCTCGCTCTTGCTCAGGCTGGTTTTGAACTCCTGACCTTGAGCAATCCGCCCGCCTCGGCCTCCCAAGAGCTAGGATTACAGGCGTGAGCCACAGCGCCCGGCCAGTTTTATATTTCTTATAGTACACATGAATTTGTATATCACTTGAAGACAGACTGTGATAACTTAAAGATGTATACTTTAAACCTCAAAGTATACACTATATATTAATTACACAATGAAGAATTACAACTAATTGCCCCCAAAAAGAAATAGTATGGAATCATAAAAAATAACCTCAAAGGAGGCAGAAAATAAACAAAAAGGAATAAAGGAAGATGAGACAAGTGAAAAAAACAAATTGCAAAACATTAGATTCGCACTTAACCATTTCAATAATTCCATCACATATAAATGGAATATAGTTAAAAGGCAAGGACTATATGATTAGATTTTAATAGTGAGATATAACTATATGCTACCAAGACGAAATTCATTAAATATATATTAAGAAAAAGCAAAAGGATAGGAAAATATGTATCATGCTAACACTAATCAAAGGAAAGCTAGGGTGGCTCTATTGTTATAACAAAAATATTTAGCAAATAAATGTTTAGGGTCATTATGTCCATTGGATGAATTGGCCCCTTTATCATTTTAAGATGAACCTTTTCATTCTAGGAATTCTTCTTTGCTCTGATATCTATTTTATGTAATATTAATGCAAGTAATGCCTACTACATACATTAGAATTATTTCCTATAAAGAGAAGTAGAAAGGGAGGATGCTATAGAGTTCAAAGAAAAATGTTTTAAGAATTCAAAATTATGAAACTAAGCAATGTAAACAAAAATATTACAGACATCATAACCTTTATATAATTTGTAGTATTTCACTATAACAAATTGGAGACATAAAAAGTATGACTTTCACTGACATGTTCAAGTACCAGTGCAAATAATTCCTAGTTGTAGAATAATCTTTTTAATCAATTCAATATAACTTGTATTGGAAACAGTTTGGTTTTGGCATTATCATTTATCAAAGGATGTTAATGCAATAATTTCAGATTTGTTAAATTGTGTGATTCATATCTCTAATGCTATGCCACTGTATACAGGGAGAGTGATGAACCACAGGATGATGAGATTGTGCATATTCTGAGGTTGAAGGGCAGCAAGCTTTCTTCATAAAGGGCCAGAAAGTCAATCTTTTTAGTACTGTGAGCCATATGCTTTCTGTTTCAAATAGTCAACTCTACCACAGACTATCCATAAATGAGTCAGGCTGTGTTCCAATAAAACTTTATTTACAAAACAAGTGATGGGTGTATTTCACTTTCTGGGACCATACTGCCTGAAGATGCGTTTTGCTTGGCCTATAGAGTACCAACAGAAAATATAAATTTGTCAATGACTTTTTTTAAAATATGAAGATTTCACATAAAAATCTATATTTCTTGCTTTTCTCAAAGAGTAGAACAGTTGACCACATTGAAATAGCACTCTCACATAGCAAGTTAGAGTCACAATTCAGTGGCAACTTCTGCCTTTAATCTAGACCTGCAATCTCCAATTCACCATAGTACCTACTTGACCCACTTCGTTTTTTTACATTACCTACCTGACTTCTGATGGCAAGTAAGATTGTGAAGACTGATGTTGCCCAAGTGGTTTCTAGAATTTTGTGAATTTGAAAAAATTATGACACAATCTGAATCTGGCTTTTGTTGTTTGGTTTGTTGTGACTTTTTTAAAATTGTAGCTAATGCTTTGCCTGGATGGAATTAGAGGGTTTTCTTTGAAAGCTGAAACTGCACAAATATATGAAAAAGAAAACATTTTATGAACCTATGTCTGACTAGATTTCTCCATTAATCTCACTGGTATA